CACATTGCTAACTTGAAGCAGAAGCAAGCTCAAAATTCAAGTCAGAAGGGTCATCTTCCACCCCACTATCATGCCTTTCATCCTCTGTGGAACTAAATGTTCTAAATATTTCAAGAAAATTGTAGGAAAATTTCATATATCACTTCTGTGTTCCCTTCCTAGACTGAGTCTATGAGCGGCCTACATACCATCACTACAATCAATCAGACTATCTTCATTCCATAATCTCTGGGCACCTGGGTTACAGGGATCTTTGGTGAGAAGTTTTGCCTGTGACCACCAGATCTCACAATCACTGAGTAACGAGATAGAAGCTATAAGGCATGTAAAAGTACTATCTTACTTGGAATGGAGGACTATGTGAGAACTTGGGTTCCAAAGCACTCAATAAATAATCTCGCAAAGAACACTGCTGCATATCATTGAAAAAGTCAATAAAAATTCTCCAGAGTGCGTAAGAAATGATGATGTTCACATATGTGATCACTTATTTTATACTTCAAAACAAGTACCAGAAACTTGGGAAGTCAATAGGTTTATAAATTTTCTCAGATGTGAGCAAGGAGAGGCAATAGGAGATAATATGGGGAAAACTCATAGCCTAGGCTAGCCTTGCCTTTTTTAAAAATTCCTTTCTGGCTGTAAATTTCCTGTCTAACTCTGTAATATTCCCACTCCTGAGAGATCCTGCTAGTTCAGGGTTTAAATCTGGGCAAAGGAGGAGCTAAAGAAGGGCTCTTGCTGATTAATCCCAAAAGGCCCTGGGATGTCTGCTTGGTCCAAATAATCAGCAGCTTGAATGATTCCAGCAATCTATGTTGTTCAAGTGTTTGCTTCAACCCTAGAACGGCACTTAGCTCACCCCAGGGGCTCAAACTGAACTGAAATTTTAGGCTTAGAGGGATCTTAACTCCCATATTAGCCTCAAAACAAACTCCTGGCAATCATTCAGACAGAAGCAAAGCATATCTCCTCGGTCTTGAAATATACACCAGGAAGTGAACTTTATCAGAACTGGCTTCAATTCTCCTCTCCTCTCAAAACACTGATCCTGTGGTTTCGTTTCCACCTTTACAAAACTGTGATGCCTAAATCAGGATAAAGCCCAAGGCTATTTCACTCTGACAACCATTTTCTGCAAATACAACTGGACTAATACAACTTTGAAACTTAATACTCCTGACCAACAAGTAAGAAAACTTTTGACATTTTTATAGGAGGAAAGAAGTGGATAAGTAATGCAAATTGCTCTTAGTCTATGATTTGTTTTAAGGCAAACAGAATGAGAAAAGACTTACAAATGATTTTTATTTTTTTAAAAATCTGAAAAATGTGTTTTACATGTCTATCTTCCAATCTCACAAGGTACACTATAAAAACAAATGGAAATAGTTGCTTTTTGTATTTTTTTTTAAAATTGGGGAACAGTGTGTTTTTCCAGGACTCATCAGCTCCAAGTCAAGTAGTTGTTTCAATCTAGTTGTGGAGGGCGCAGCTCAGTGGCCCATGTGGGGATCGAACCGGCAACCTTGGTGTTATGAGCACTGCACTCTAACCAACTGAGCTAACTGATTGCCCCTGTTTTTGTTTTGTTAGTCATCCAGCAGACTACTTTTTTAAGTCCAAGGTAAGGGCGTTTGCAATAGGGCAGTAAAATTTCAGGATTTTTCTATCGTGAATTTTCTGTCTAAGATCTCAGCCTATCTTTACTGTGATCCCTGGACTGCATGTCACCTGCTTTAATTTTGACAAATGAAAAGGGAAAGAAAGGAGAAGAAGAAAAAAGGTTAAAACAACCCATAGATAATTGCAAAAGACTAACTAATGCTCACATAAATAATTGACATAAATCCAGTTACCTGTAAGAATCTTAGGCTTAACCACTACAATGTGTATTCAGTCAATACATGAAAATGAACTCTCTCTGGTAAACAATCTTCCTATTTTCTTCCTTAACATGGTGCCATACACGTGCTGGGAAGTGGATGCTTTCTCTTTGTATATTAGCAGTTATACTTATTGGTTTAGTGTCTCTGGAAAGCGTGCTACTCCACCAGCTATTGTGAAGCAAAATCAGGGAATCAACTCTACAGTTAATTGATTTTTGAATAGAACTTGTCTCCAAATGGTTGACTTTTGCAACATCTATGTTTAATAACTGCCATTCACTTGTTTTACTCATCATTTTTGTTCTGCTGAAAATCAAGTTCTGAACTTCCCTTGATTGGGACCCAGAAGCAGATTTACATCATCTTTCTCTGTACTCTAGACCCTATTATTACAAAGGATTGGAGCTCCCCAGAAGTTCTGCAGGGACCAGTTTCCAGTGCAAATGAGGGCACCCGTGTGCACAGCAAAGCCAACTCACGCGTACCAGTTTCAGCCTGCTGCTCAGAGTGCATCCACCCCAGACAATTGCTGCACTACAGAACCCATCAAATATGTGCTAATGTGGACAGATGGAAAACTCATTAGGAAGCACAGCCAACTCTGCGTTCCCACGTTTCCAGGAGAGAAACCACATTCTGTGCACAAACAATGCAAAAGCACTAGGGTCAGTGCACTTAAATCAAGTGAATGTCTAACCCCTTCCAAGATATTACAAAAGCAAAGCCCATATGGTTAGCTAAAGACTTTGCCCTTCAGAAACATACATGGATTAGGGCTAGACCAAAGACACAAACTCACCACGTACTTTTTCAAAAGTTCTATCTAATTTTTCTTGTCTGGGAAATTGTTATACAAACGACTTACCTCTTAAGAATACAACAAATAGCTATTATAAAGCAATTTACGCGCAAAGTACAAATATACCTCAATAAAGTGGGAGGGAAAATAGAAATATAAGGATTAAAAGCCATCTTATAGGGGATTATTGGTCAGCCATACTTTTTCTAAGCTAACTCAGCATATCTTATTTTGGGGTGATAAGAGCCAGAAAAATACATCTACTTCTTCTTGACATTTTTTTTAGGATTACTGATGACAGGATTGAGATCACCCTAATGAAGGAGAGAGGTACTTTCCACTCTATCTCCCACCATCCTGAGTGCACACGGACCCTCCCTTAGTGGCCCAGTGGCCCACTGTCCACACACTGCAGGAGGAGGTACGACCAGGAAGCACCTGGAGAAGTAGAGTAGTCGCCATTGCTGAGTTTTCTTCTGTTTTAGAATCACTTTGTCCATTACTTTCTCACTGAGGCTTAGAACCTCTTTGATTTTCCACAAACTAAGATCTCTTAGTGATTCTCAAATTCACTTACATACTTAACATAAAATTTGCTTCCCAGTTTTCCACATGGGGATGCGTGCAAGCCGTAAGCTCACTAAATACTGACCTTGACTGACACCTGGCTCTGGCGAGCACGAGAGCTCTTCAAACAAAGCCTGCACCATAGGACTCAAGGGGGCTCAGACTTCGGAGCCTAACTACAATTTAATCAGCTCTACCCTTTATTCTCGGTATGATGAAATTTTCAAACTCAAGTGTATTTGCTACGGGCTGAGAGCTTATATCAGTTATTTTAGGAGTACGAACAGCAGTAGAAACAAAGATGCATGTCTAGAAATGGTGAGAAAAGTGATGCTGGTAAATGTAGATTTATCAGGAGAAAATCTGACTGAGTGGGGAGCATTTTGCAGGTATAAGAGGAGTGAATCTATAGACTAAAACATATGCTAGTAATTTCCAAAGACATGCCACACCCCTTAGGAGTTACTTGAATGATTTCAAGAATTGCTTACCTTTATAAAGGTCAGGCGTTGGCTGATGTCTTCCCTGTGCTAGATGGCTGTATTTTTGGGAAGGTCACACTCCAGCAGCACCACTTAAAGAGTGAGGTCATTACCCCCAGGAGTGATGGGGGGCTTCTTTCAGGAACTGCAGCAAGGAAGACCACTCTGGCAGTTGGCATTCAGACTTTTTATCTAATAATGATATGTTTTGATCCAGAAGTGACTCAAATCCCCAAACTCCTTCTAGATAAAGTTAGGCCCACTAACCCCCAAAGGGGCTAATAGCCCTTTCTTCTCTCACAGAACTACTAAGAAATGTGCCATTTTACAAAGTAAGTTTTGAATTTTATTTTCTACTATCCCAGTTCCTTTATTCTTCACAGAATATGCTGTGAATACATTTCATCATTTGTATTTTTCTTTTCATATTCTGATATATATCGATGATAATCTCAGTGTCTTAAAAAGACTAACAAATACAATGCTGCTGTTTTTGTCATTCTCAAACAAGGGATAAAGTGCTGTACTTATATTACAGGAACACTACATTTGTGTATGCATATGTACTCTTAGCACTGTCGGCTAACTACTCCCTGAACCTAAAACTTTGCTAGCATGAAATGGATTTGCTGATCACTACCCAAACACTGTGCTAATTCTCCCGTAGGTGTTTATCCTTTCCTTTTACGTGTGTGCCCCACCTCTGCCTCCACCTGGCTCTACTCTTTCTTCAAAGTCCCTCTTCCCCTCAGGCCTTCTAGCTTACTTCCCAGCTTCCTTTGATACACAGGTCCACACTATACATTGGATACCTAGTACATGTTGTCTGGGATTACGCACTCTTATGTATCAAGTTGAAACATATCAAATTGACAATATTCAACTATTTCTGACCTATATAACATCAATTGCAGATAGTTCAACCTAATATATGCATCTTCTCCAAACACAAATTTTGTTTGCTTTCCTAGTGTCTACAATAGTTCCTTACACAATGTAGGTGTTTGATATTAAAAAGAAATAGACCTTGACTATTCTTAAGTTGGCAAAATAGGAGAAAAGCTTCTATTTTCATCTAATCCATTAATACAATCACCATGAATGATTTAGGATGTTTATGATCCCTCCTGCCAAAATTTCCTACTCTAGCCTAAAATATAAATATAAAACTTTATGGCACTAGAAGTTAAGGCTAGAGGCATTGCTTTATAAATACTACAGGGCTTTAATAGATTCTACATTTCAAAAACATCATTCATAGAATTTTCATCAGTAAATTCTGTATTCACTTGAGTATATTTCATATTCATTACATAATTAGTTACACAACCTAGTTAGAAAAGAACATTAGAATATTGCACTTTATCTAATTATATTACATAGATTCTTCTGCCCTTCTCCCTTACTACAGTCTTAATTCTACATATAATTATCATAATAAACTGAATTTGGATAAGGAAAAATCTAGTGAAAAATTATACATATTTTTAAAGCTAAGAGACATGTAAGGTATCTGATAATAAATGCAGGACCCCATAGCTTTCCAAAACAAAAATATTCAAAATACACATAGCATGATGATTTTTGAACTGAATTCAGTCTGCTTAAGGACAGAATACAAATACAGCAGTGGAGAAACAGAGAACTGGGCAGCCTATTACCTTGAGACTATCCATATTGGTAGGCTCAGAATTACGTAAGGAAACAGAATTACATATTTCATCTCCTTCTTGCTCTGGTGCTGTGGATGGATCAGTGAAGTCCAGATTTCTTTTTCAAGGATTCCATTTCTTAGAGTCACATTTTCCTCAGCTGATGAGTCATGTCTTCAGAGCTCAATTCCAAATGTATTTATAGTGTTTTCTACTGAGCCTTTCATTCATGTAATATCAGAACATATAAAAGATTTCATGAAGCCAGGGAAACATCTATCGGGGTGGGGGTGGGAGAAAACGAGCTTCATGCTAATTGATTTAGATTTTCCACTTGTCATTTAGGAATCATTAAAAACAAATGGTATAACTTTGGCTCGTATATCTTTTTAATCTTGAGATTAGCAAAGTTTCGCAGCAGTCTTGATGAATATGGTCCATCTTAATGTCACAAAAAAATAGGGAAGGGCTCAAATTTCTTTCATTGACAGTAGGAAGCACACTTTCAACCCCTAATCTCTTTCACTGTCAAGACAGTCTTAGAGGACATTTTAAAAAATGAGACTTTCTTTTCAAAGACCTTCTTCCTTTATGGTCCCCAAAACACAGTCAACTTCAGCTATCTTAATCTTGCATTTTCTTGGTAGAAAACTAGAATAGTCTTTCTGTTGTAAACAAAGAGATCAGATATATATATGGGAGGAAACAATAACAACAATAACAATAGAAAAGTCAAGAATGTTAATATTAAAAAGGCAACAGAAAGTTAACATTTGTTTAAGCAATGGCTATTTTAAATGGTTTTATCCTGTAGAAGATGTATTTTGGGTTAGGTGTTCGTCTGTTAGGGCTGAGAGCGCCCCCTGCTGGTTCGCCGAGGTAGCTCTGTCCAGAGTACCTTTCCAAACACTGGAACGTCTATAAGAAACACTTGAACTCTGCCTCTCTTGTCTTTTTCCCCATTCTTACAGCCATGTGACTTTTAATTTTTAACTTCATCCCAAATCTTTAGTGAACATCCCACACAAATACACATTTAAAAACATATAATAGTTATTTTAAAACATTTTAAGAGGTTATGGTGGCTATAAACCTTCAGTGACTAAGTAGTCAGCCTTTAGTATTTATGAAATCTCGAAGACAGGGCCATGGAGACTATGCTTTGGCCTTGGCAAAATAAATGTAGGGCACGTCAATGGCAGATCAGCTAAAGAACATTTTTTTTTCTATAAGGGATTTGTCTTGTCATGGCAGAGTGGTTAAAGGAACAAACTTTATTTGTTAAACTGCAAATAAAGGCTGCTTGCATTTAGGCACTGGCTCTGCCATTTACTAGTTTGGGCAAGTTACTTAGCCTTTCTGTGTGTTTTCAGTTCCCTTGGCTATAAACCAAGGATAACAATAGTGCCTGGGTTGTTATGAGGACTAAACGAATTATATATGGAAAGTAATTATAACAGTGCCTGGCTCAGGATAAGCTCTATAGAAAGGTTTGCTATAAGGTATATAAATATCGAATCACTATGTCATATGCCTGAACTGTATGCCAACTATACTTTCATTAAAAAAAATTAAAAATAAATAAATAATCAAAATGAAGAAGCAAAAAAGAAAGAAAGATTTGCTAGAATAAGCTGAAATTCAATGTGATGGGATGGATACCAGGCCTGCTTCTGACATGCTGGCCCTGCTCAGAGCATAAAGGAAGTTTGCCTGTTTGGCATTGCTGCTCCTCTGAGGATAACTGAATTAGCATCAATGTTGACCACAGTTGTGCTGTGAATTGTGTTGCCTGTTGTTCTAGGACAGCGGCTCTCAAATTTGAACATGCGTCAGACTCAGTTGGAGGGTTTGCTGAACACAGATTGCTGGCCCTCACCCCTAGAGTTTCTGATCCAGTAGGTATGGGGCCTGGGAAATTGAATTTCTAGTAAGTTCCCAAGGGATGCTGGTGCTGTTAGTCTAGGGATCACACTTTGAGAACCACTGTTCTAGAATAATGGTTTCAATCCTGGCTGTACATTAGGCCACTTGGGAGCTTTTAAAAACTCTGTAGTCAGGCCCCAGCCATCACTAGTTTTTAGATAGCTCTAGGTGATTCCAGTATGCAGCCAAAGTTGAGAACCACAACTCTACATCGTCACTTTGCTGCTGAAATGGATACATTTAAATGATGGAGTGATTACCACCTACATTTTACAGATTAAAAAAATTGAGGCTTGGGGAGGTGTTTCCCACTGAGGTGCTTGTTATACATTCTGATTCAGGGCCCCTACCCCGGATTTACTGCATCAATCGTTTGGGGTGTGGCCCAGGAGATGCATTTTAATAAGTACCTCAGGGGTCCCTTATACACATTTAGGTTTTTACCTGTAGAAACAGTATGTGGTAGAGTTCTCATCTCCTGTCTCTGATCTAAGCAGCCAGACATGTTGTTATTATGAAAGAGAGAAAGCTTTGTATTTAGTCTGTTTCAAATTTTTTTCTGAGCTTATTAACTCAAGAAAGGACCTTATATACTTATACATTTATAAATACTATCTCAATATACTAAGTATTTATATATATTTATATATATAGCAAACCCTGTGACAAGACTAGACCAGACCAATAATAAATTCCATTCCAATGCTACTTAGAGGCCACCTTTATTTCATTCATCTACACTAAGATTTGAATCTAGAAAGGAAGAGTTGGCAAAGGACACGGGTAGTTAAGGACACCGCTCTGGAGTCATATTGCCTGCTTCCTTCCACCATTGATTACCGTGCAACCTGTGGTAAATCACTTAACCTCTTGTGCCCCAGTTTCCTCAACTGATTTACAGGATAGTGGTGAGGATGAATGCGTTAATCCACATAAACATGCTCTGAACAGTGCCTGGTAATAATGAGAGCCTATTAATGCTTTCTATTATGATTTTTACATTACTGTTATATGCACAGCAGATCTAAATTCTCAAAAAGTATTTTATAAACTTAAAAGTTGTTTTATACTAGAAAATCCATGAAACTAAAATATACAAACTAGAAAGAGAATTTTCAAAAAAATGCATGGGGCATAGAAAGTAATCACTAAAGAATTTTGTGTTCTTCTTAAAAAAAATTTGTTAAAAACTCAGAAAAGCATTTCTCCCAGCCCTAGTGGAGGCTACAATAAACATACTATATGTCTCTGATAGCCCTCCAATTGGCCTAACCTACCTGGAAGAGCTTCTGAAAAAGAGAATTCTGGCTTATCCTTGAAACTACTGGGCTGTCAGAAAAGTCATGACGTATTTTTTTCTATGTTTTTGTTGCAAAAATGCGTCATGACTTTTCCGACAACCGTAGAATGACATTGGTTACTTAGTGGGGAAAAGGGGGCAGATTTATCAAAATTATAATGTATCAATGACTTAATTTTACTCACCGACTGACTTTGTTGAATGTGGTATTTTTTACTTTTGCCTTGTTCAGGAACTTCAATCTGCTAAAAAGATTAGTAAAATGTCAGGCAGCACAGCTCTGAGAAGCAAGCACGCAAATAACCTACTTAACTAGCACATTTCCCCTTCCACAATAATCCTCTTAATGGCCCAAAGGCTGCCAGTCAGCAGGCACACCTGCATGTCATCTGCATAGTCTCTTTTCATTTTCAAGTGTCTAAATGGTACAGTAATTGAGCCGCCAGAAGCTAAGTGAAGCTTAATGTTTAACCTTGGTGGTTGCCTATGGATATTGTGATTTAATGCAGATTCTAAAAGGACTACACATGAAATGAACTTCTAAATCCTGAAATAATCTGCAGAACTCCAATCCATATGCTGAATCAAAGCCAAATGGGGCTTTGATTAATCAAAAGGCACCATTAATCAAGGGAAGAATCAAAGTGAAGTTTAAGACACTTAAATCTACCTCATGTACATAAGGTAAATAATATAACATTCAGGGTCTCAGCAGAAAACAGATGGCACCCTCCTGGGGTGATTGAGGAGAGTTTAAAAAAGGAACTATTTAATGGAGGTGTGGACAGGATTAAAGGGAATTAAAGAAAGGATGTTGGAGCCACCAGGGGCTAGCAATAAGGCGGTAATTCTTACCACCTCTGGGCCTGAAAGAGCAGGAAGAGCAGCTGGTGCTGGAAGGGGAGTAGCTATAGCTGCAGGGAGCAGAGGCCACCTACCAGAGCATAGCCCTCTGTAGAGTGCTGTGCCGACTGCAGAGACCCAGAAGACACAGAGTGGGAAAATAAATACCCACTCTCACTTTTCTTTCACTCTCTAATCTCGCTAGGTTCCCCCATTGGTGAGCCTGGTCGGAGGTTAGAGGGCAAGTTCACAGCACACAAAGGTCACAGAGAAGGACACAGAGAAGGTGGAAGAGAGCAGAGAGTGAATTTGGAGGGGCCAAAAGGGTGTCTGGTACAGCTAATAAACATGACCTAGCCAGGGCTTGGGGGAAAGAGTTCTTAGACTCTTCTTACAGGAAAAGAACTACTGTTAATCAACTATACATTATGTACATGTCTTATCACTCTGTAACTGTGTCTCTACTAATTGCCTTTATCCTCCAACAAATAAGCTCCTTGATGATAGATCCTCAGTGTCTAACCAATGCATGGTAAATACAGCCATTCATAAATGATAGAATGAGGGGTGAATTAAGTAAGTTGTTTATTAGTGTTTATTTTTCATGAGAATGTAGAGCAGGACATTTCCAAATAAGTGAGATAAATAATATGATACTACAAAAGAGCATTATTTTTTAACCATGTTTAATTTAATTTTATTGTAAAATGTATTTCTCTGAAGTATGCATAGGACTTCCTTTAGGTGAGTATTCTTTTTTTTTATTAAAGATTTTTATTGGGGAATTGGGGGGATGGGAACGGCGCTGGGGAATTGGGGGAAGGGGAACAGACAAGTTGCTGTCATTTTGTTCTTCAGTCTAGT